ATCATATGAGAGGATTTTTTCAATGTAAACGATTTGATTCGTTTCACGCTCAACAGACACATGAGTCCCATCGGCAATCGAGTTCTTGAGCAGGTCAAACACTGGCTGAAAAAAAGTACACTCAAGGTCGTAATTTACATTTTCGAGATATAAAAAAATAGTAAAGGCCCAAGGTAAAACTTAGAATTTTTATTTGAAATCCTACAACTTACATGAAGTTGTAAAACTTCATATTTCAAAGTTATAAGACGTTAAAATAGTGTACGTATCTTACTACAGATTTTTATACGATTCGGCATGCAGTTTGTATGTACTATAATCAGTGCTTCGTCCTTTTTGCCGTGTATCTAGGTATGCATCAGTTACAGACCAGTTATATCCAACTGCTTTTTGGGGTATCAAGAAAAATTGTTATAACGCGGTTATTAATAATCGCTCAGACTTGCAGATCGCCTCATTTTGTAGACAAATGTTTGTAGTATACATTTGTATGGAAGATAAAATTAAAGGTTGGAAGAGAGAAGCATTCTTAACGAATTACCGAAGATGGTAATAAACAGAGGAGGTTGAACAGTTATGTAACTGGTGACCAGTTATCACGTACTGTTACTGGCGAATGAGTTGTTCCCACCCAACCGCACTGACCCGCGGTTATTTCTAGAAGAAAAAACACCACCCACCGATACTCGCCGTTTCTGAAGTTGTTTCAGCAGCAAACGTAGTGAACCGTATATGCTTTATGGACAACCGCAGACAACGGCAGTCATGACCGGCGAGAACCGCTTGTGTTAATTTTACAAAAAAACGAGCGAAAAATTGACAACCTTCGAGACCCGCAAGCGAAGACACCGAATAATCGGCTAAAACCTCCTGTTTACCGGTGCTCCACCGATAGAATCGGCCGGATATCCGCATGAACCGTGTATCAAATAAAAGTACACGTGGTTACCCATGCGGTTTAGCGGGTATACATTCGTGCCTGGGGTCGTTTGTAAATGACCTCTATGCTTCTTCGTATGGTGTCAAATTATATCTTAAATTTCTAATTGAAGTCAATGCACCATAATCTAATAAAACTTGAACCAGTTCTTTATGACCGTAATAACACGCGACATGCAGACATGTTGAACC